CCAAGGGGCCTGCCGGCGCCTGCTCTCCTTTCGGAGCGCTAATCTGACCTCAAGAAAACTTTAGCTGGGCGAGGGAACGAGGCTGCTCCAAAAGGTAATTTATTTAAACGCGTTGGGTTTTTTCCCTGACCGTCCTCCTTCCCTCGCTCAGGCCAGGTATCTGTGAAAAGGAGGGAAAGCAATGGGATTATTTGTGTCCAAGGGTCCAATATATATGGCAGCTGATAGTGCAGAGAAGGTTAAAACTTGCACAGACCTGGTACTGGCAAGTCTCTAGTGAATCGTACTGTTAACTTTTTAAACTTGAATTTCATGGTCCTTTGCATTTTGATTCTTCCTCGTGTTTAAAGGTTCTAGATCTTCAGATATTTAAGGATAAAACATGTTCTTTATGCTTGCAATGACAATGCTGTTGCATTTTGTGAACATCAGGACAAATTTTAATGTAGACGTTTTTATCCCTCAGCTGTACTGAACTCTACCAAATGCTTGTACTGTTTGTAAATCTACTGCTGATTTGTTTGGTGCCTTTGCAAAGGTCACTTCAGTCCATCCAATACAGACATTTTTTTTTACTAAAACGCCTGTATTGATTTAATGTGGTACAGGGTCAGTCTTGGCATTTATAAATTATTTCATATTTGTTACTTGTGTGCTGTGAGAGCCATGCTTTATAAAGCAACTATTCCTTAGTTGTGCCTTAAAGCCTACCGGCAGATCTTGTATGTGGCATACAGGAGGTGTGTGGCTTTATGGGCATCTAATGTTAAGTGTCCTACTTATTTAAAAATGTTGAGAGCTCTAAAAGGGTCAGTGTAATCCATACCACACGTGCGCTCAACTGACCTAGAATTAACAGGATAAAACACTTTTAAGCACTTTTGGAGTGAAAGGTAGGATGCTATTTCCTCGTGCATGGCTAACAATGACTTGCTTTTTGAAGATGTCCAGTGCCATGCTTCCCAGTCTGGAGGGTGCCAGAACACCCACCCCAGTGCTGGAGAGGCTTGGCTTAAACTGGTGAGACTGGTCATGAGAGCGGAAGGCACCAGCAGCCTGGAGGTGCTCCATGGGGAGATGAACACGATGGCGTTGGTGGCCAAGGGTGGTGGCTGCATCAATCCTTCATGGACGGTGGGCAGCCCTTGCTGTGGTGTGGGGCTGCTGGAGCTGGCAGAGCTGTGTGCCCTCTCAGGGCCCCCATTTCACGTGGGTTAGTAACTTAGCATGCCAGTTGATATTTCGTGCTGAGGTACTGAGTTTCCCCTCTGGGTTTCAGGGGGCAGCAGGCAGGTGCCTGTGTGCTGCTGTGTAGGTGCAGGCATACCAGGAATGTGGTAAGCGTGATTTACTGCCTCGATGGGACTGATAGCAAGTTCACTCTGCTGCATAGAAGGCCTGGACTGCCTTCATGCCAGTGCATCCATGTTAAGCAAATTGTATCTATCACAAGCTAAAGTTAAGAAGGAAACCAGGTTTTCCAGATTCAGATGGAAATCATTTGCTGTCACTTTGCTACAGAGGCTCTTTCTGCATTGTGTTGTAGCAGCTGGCCACCTGCACCCTTCTTCTCTGCCCCTGTTAGGCTTGTGGTGACCATGCTGAAGATACAGTTGTTGCTGCACTTAGTATAGGTGCAGTCTTCCACTGGATGGGAGATGATTTTCTGTTAAAGGTTCATGGTTCTGTTTCAAAATCTGTAGGTCCCAGGTTGATTTACTGAGGCGAAACTGAGTCAAATTATAGGACGCAACTTTGCAAACATGTTTTGATTGCTTGGAGCTACAGAGCTCATTTTGGATAGTGTGCTAGTGTGTAAAGGGAAGGTGTTTCTCAAATGTGCTTTTGTAAGTATGTTTCCCACTGCTGACTAGTTAAGTTAGAAGTCAGTGAACTGAATTATCATAGAGTAGATTTTGGCCATTAATTGTGGTGGAATGCAGAGTAAATGAAGGCTTAGGTTTATAGCCTGCCCAGAACTAGAGGGTGTATCTTTAAATTCTGTAACATCTCTGGTCTCTCACTGGCTGACAGTATGTCTTGTTATCCGCTTCTAGAGTACGGCTCCCTTGCGTAAGGCCTTAAGCATATGTGTTGATCAGCCGCAAGTTAACAATTTTGAATTAAACTGAATGGTAAGTATATGTTGACTACAAAGTGTCTTTCTTCCAAGGAAGCTTTATTTTAGGAGGGTAAGTTCTGAGAAGTTACAAGAACTAGTTTGTGTTGTCCATGGAGCTAAAGGCTTGTAGGAGTTGGAGGTTTAAATTAAAACAAAACTGAAAAAGACTTGGACCGTCTTAAGTGGAAGGTACAATAGCTGCTTGGAAACTGCATTTTAAGGAGGAGGAAAAGCTTGCCAAGTGGGGCTGTGGACCTTGCTGTGAGAATAAGATACTGCAAGTTACCAGAAAACCTAAAAGGAATGAAGTAAAGGAGGGGATTGATTGTTGGAGAGCAGAAACTGCAGGGATAGCATGTGAACTGCCAAAAGCTAGAGGATGAAGAAATTTAAGATGAAGAGGGGGGGAAAAAAATAAAAAGAGCAGGAGAAGAGAATTTGGCTATGATGTTGTGAGGACCAGGCTGTATGAAAAATGCTTGATGCCTCTAAAATTAGCAGTTCTTGTTTTAGTTGTTTAGTTTTAGATATGCATGAGGATTTGAATATGGGGGAAAGATAGGTTGTCAAATGGAAATAACTAGAATAAATGTGTTATGTCTGTTCCCAGTCGAACTAAGTCTAAGGGTCTCTGCTTTTGGGCTCTGAAAGAGCTAGTGCAGGGCACTGCAGCCAGGTTAAAAAATAGAATTGGGTGTTATCTGTTAGGCTGAAGGTAGCAATTGTGATAGCAAGATAGCAAAAGATATATAGTTTCATTTATTTTAAAAGGAGAAGAGAATGATATCTTCACACCTTTTACTTTGGTCATAATAGAATTCAAGGATTTAGAATAAATTTGGAATGGAAAAAATAATTAAGTATACAAAGCTAAGTGGAAAACAGGATAAAATGCATCATGCATTTGCCACAATTAGGTCATGGGAGACTAAAGCCAAATTATTACTGGTTAAATACTGAATGTCCCAGACAAATAGGAGCAGAAGGCTTCAGTTCCATGTATATACACCAAAAGTAACTAAATTGGAAATGTGAGGCTTAGCTAAAGGTGTCTCCTGAAGGAGAAATGCCAAGTTTGCCTGCCTGAATAAAGGAA